AGTAGCAGGTGCAAGATGCTGAAACTATCAGAGGTCTAGTGAGGCACTGATAGGAATCTAGATAGAAAGTAAAAATAGTCCCTAAAATATTTTTTTGGCGGGGAACCGGGGATTGAACTTGGGTCCTTGCGCTTGCGAGGCAGGCCACCGAACTGCTGAGCTAAATCCCCATCCCCCTAAAGTAATATTTTTAAATCCTTAAAAATAGCATTGGCAAGACTGAAAACTCAATGGATATGGGAAGTGAAAATGAAAGGACTCTGACCTTCCTTTCAATTTGAACAACTGGGTGATGCCATTTGGCAAAAATAGAACACAGAGGCTAAGCGGGATCGTGGAGCCTCCAGATGAATATAGATCGCCACTCCAGAAGCAAATCTCAGCACAGAGGTCAGAATGCCATGAGGGAAGAGTAGTAGTTGAGTCCCTGAACAAGGAAGGAATGATCAGGATACGTACATATGGTTCGTGGTGGAACATCGAGTTTTAAGTGATAAATCTCCAAAATATGCAAAAAGGAATCACAGGTGGAAAGAGAACAGAAAGACAGTGTGGTTCACAGAAGTCCAAGTGGGGCTTTAAGAAGGAAGTGGTACAGAGTGCTGAGATGCACAGTGCCAAGGAAATCAAGTAAATGCCTGAAAATTTTCCACTGGGTTTGGAAAATGGCTGCTCATTAGTGACTGTAATTAAAACCATATCAGTGGAAGTTTTGAGGGAAAAAGCCTGAGCACTATGGCTTTGGAAGAATGTAAGAGTAAGTAAATTGAAGAAACATGTGAAAACTACTGGACCAAGAGGATTTCTTTTTTAAAGATGGAAAATGACTGTTCAGAAGCAAGAAACAGAACTGGGGAGCACAGAAGAGAACGGTCTGTCTATCTCTGTCTGCCAGTCTCTGTCTCATTCTCAAATTTCAGTGAAAGAGTCTCAAGCTTGTTAAATGCTGAAGAGCAAGAGCTGAGTGAAAAGCAGCACTGATGAATGGATCTGAATGGCAAAACAAATTTCCGAGGGTAGGCGAAGAGATTAATCTTGGACGCAAAGAAGTTTCTCTGTTGTATTATTGTAAAAACGCGTAAGAAGTCAATGCACAGCCAAATACACACGGCAAGTGAAGGTAACAAGTTGAGTGTTGCACTGGATTTCAAGGTGAAGCAGCGCTTTTATTTAGTGCTAGGTAACCATGGTAAACTTGAAAGAAGAGCTTTTTTTCTCCTTCATTTCAAAGTAAGAATGTTGTAAGGAATATAAATGAGATACTTGACACTTGAAATGACTTATAGAAATTAAATAATGACAGGAATAAAATTATTAAAAGAGGGTATAAGATATTTCTTACGTTATAAATACTGCAACTTCCAGGACTAATGAAATTACTAAAAAATTTAGACACTCATTCTAATTAGAAACTAAGCAGAAGAATGAAACCTGAGTAGTGAAATTCACATAAGTAATTAGACTTCTAAAGCATAGCAAAATAACAATGGAAGCAACAAAAATCTTGACCATGATAAAAATTTCTGAAATATTTAAGTTCTGACTTTGCCCAAATATTTTTAGGAGTCAATAGATAAGTGCATACAAAAAGTGTTTAAATATCTGAAGATGGGTATAGAAAGGGAACTTTCTGTTTGACTCCAAAGTTAAGAAAATTGTCGATCGCATTACATGGGCAAAAGTGAAGGCAGTGCTCATTTGTTTCTTTCATATTATCTACGCTATTCGTGTAGATTTTCTCCCTCAAAGTATGATTGGGGTTATTGGTTCAAAATGCAATTTGGAAATGTATTTTGGTCTTTGTGTGATGTAAAAGGAGTGCACTATTGATTGCCTCTGAAACATTCCTTAAAAAATTATCTCTTTGGATGAATGTGATATGTATGTAGTATAGCTTTGAAAGCATTGCCAGCTTGATCAGCAATTGTATTCATTTCTGGTCATGACAAATGACCATTGCCTGTTAAAAATTATCAGACATCCCTAATTAGAAATGTGTGTTCTCAATGGGGATATTCAGAAAAATGCAATCTTGTCTTAGTTGGCATTTCCTAAGAAGGGTATATCCAAGTAATTCTTTGAATCATAACTGGACTAAAGCTGATTTTTAGCTCAGTTTCTACTTTCATGAGTAGGTACTAATTTGCTTAAATTGCTGGTTCTGGTATGATTGTTCAAATCAGTTTTTATTTAATAGTCATATTTCCTATTGATTCTATTTTTAAAATGTTTATTGAAAATTTTTAAACTATGTAATTCATAAACACATGGTCAACCATGCATGTATGCATATGAGTAGGTATATCAAATCTACAAAAATAGGGAGAAAATATTATTTATAGATCTACTGTATTGTTATAACATAAATGGTCATATATTTTGTTTTGAAACTTGCTTTTTTATTTACTATTTTATCATAAACATAGTTTCATGTTATTACATTATTATTTTTAATGAATACTTGGTATTCTATGGCATATATATGCTACAAAATAATCACTCTTCTGCATTATGTACACTCTTACACATTAAACATTAATGAACACTCTTAAAAGAGTGCAAGATCATATTAGCTAGATCTTATTGTGACTATTGCTATATTTTATTGTCATTATTATTAACATACTGTAGACGAGAACACTGAGTGTCAGAAAGATTAAGTTACTGGAACAAGATCACATGATTGGAGGAAGTAGCAGAATTGGAATTTGAGACTTAACTTTTACAAGAGGCAACAGCAGTTCTTTGTAAGTACCTTGTGTTCAGTGAAAACAAAAAATTACAAGAGCAAAGAGAAACAAAAAGACAAAGAAGCCTAACCTTCCTGTGCTGTGGAGCGCTGAGACAAAAACAACTGTGTGGTAGAGCCAGGAAAATATTTTATTTTATCTAGTCACTATGTCCCTGAGAGCAAAATGAAGTGCATGTAAAATAAAAATCTGGAAGTTCTGTCAGACAAGACAGAGGACAGTATTTGGATCTTGCCAGGATTTGGCAAGAATGAGAGAGTTGATTTGATTTGGGAGAAGTAGAAAAGTTTGGGAAAGTTTCATGGGAAATCATGAGGGAATCGGACTGGATGAGCAAGGATAGATTTCCGGCAACAGAGCAGGAGAAGCTGAACTTGGCTGGACCTGCAGTGGGAGAGGCGAGCATTAGCCAGTGCAGAGGTTGGGATGGGAGACACTCTGCAGGCCAAGACAAGCAGATGATATGCAGATGATATGCTTCGAATGAGCTGCTTCGGGGAAAATTACTTCATATAAAACAATATATTTTTAGAAAGTTGTAGTTTCTGAATTTCATACAAATTGGCTATTTAGGATTGAGTTGCTTGGGATAGGGACTATATCCTGGTGCTTTGTGCAATCCTGCTGTTTGGCAGGTGATGCACGCATTACAGACAACCAGGCCTCTCCCAAGGCAGAATGTGTGGTAAAGGAAGTGTCGGCAGTCCCTGAAAGAGGGAAGTGGTCAACTGATAGAAAGCAGCTTGGAACTTGGGCAATACAAAGTCGCTGTCACAGAAAACTCCCAATGCGTTTTCATTTTCAAATTACGACTTACAGGATTGCACAAGCACAATCTCAGAAGACTTCCAAGCAAACAGCCTTGATTCCCACTGCCTTTGCCTCCCTGGGCACGTTCCAGACACTTTCAGATCCCGTCTCCTGAAACAGAGGAAGCATTTCATTGTGAAAATCTGGCTTTTTGTCAATGAACGAGAAAAATTGCATGCACTTTAATTCATGTATGCAACATTATGTGACAAATGCATCTCTCATATAGTAGTGATTGAAAGTTTTTTAAAAAAGTATTTCCCCTTGGGCTTAAATAGTTATTCATTGACTTATTGCTAATGAGCTTATTCATCCTCTAATTTATTAATGATATACTGAGAGATGTCAGCTTGCCATGTCCCTGTTCTCTGTCAGAAATAGCCAAGCTTGCCCTGATTTGTATGAGCAAAGCCATATAGGCTTTAATGATTTTCATTATAGAAATTCCAGTAGACATTAAAGTATAAATGACAAGTAAATTCTTTACACTTCAGTTTATATTATGCACCATAAAATAACAGTGAATCAATAATATAAGAATAAATTCCAGCAAAATTGAATCAGACAAGCAATGTTGCAATGCTCACAAGAGGATTGGTGCTGCTTGATGTGCCACAAACCCTTTTGTAATGCACAGGCTATAAAACTGCTAACTTCTTGCAGGGAGGTGCAGAGTCTCCTGGCGGGGGGTGGGTGTCTATCCAGCAGCAATGCATGAGTGGCTTAAATTCCACCTCTGCTGGCTCTGTAACCTTAGGCACAGAGATAACTCAACCACTTTGGACTTCAGTTTCTACAACTGGAAATTGGGAACAGTAACAGATGCTACAGAATTGGGTTATGAGGTGATGCCTGAGGAATGAAACACACAGAAAATCAGTACACCGTAGTTACCCGTACTATATACCAGCCTGAGATGTCATTTGGCATACAGCCCGTTCTTTATACAGTTTGGCTTGCCTTATCTTCCATTGTCACAGTTGCAGATTCAATGAACCCCAGATTTAAAAATATGAGTATGTTAAATGTGTACAGATGTTTCACTCCCTTGTCATTATTCATTAACCAATATAATTTAGAATTGTTAACATTGCATTTGCATTGCATTAGTTATTATAGGTAATTCATAAATGAAGTAGTATATGAAAGATAGGCAGAGGTTATATGCAAACACTACACCATTTTATATGGAGGATATGAGGGCATCCGTGGATTTTAGTGTCCGAGACAGTTCCTGGAAGCAATCATCCAAGAACATTTTGGGAAGAACGTAATTTACTTTTACTTTGCTTAAACCAGTTATCTTGTTGAGGCCGACTTGCATTTCCCAGAATTACTTTTTCTGTATATTTCTGGTTACAGTAGGCTGCAAGAGACATTCTTAAGTAAGGTTTAGGGGACGGAAGTGAAATGACAGTTGTTTTGTAATTCTTACCTACTGTCATGTATATACTGGCTCAAACAATATGTGTCAGGCAGTGGCTGGGCCTACCACTCCTCAGCCATCCTTTGGATGCTCTTACAGCTGCTCAGACTCTGGGGATAGATATGTTTCTGTAGGTCCATGGTGATCCATCCTGACTTTTCCAGGAAGCCCTCACCACTAATGGCTGAAACAACAAAAACGGGCGCAAGTTTCATCCCATAATTTTTCTTTCTTTTCTTTCTGACTGCTTGTCTCATGGATTTTAAGCCTTGCATCATGGGTTGGATGGAGAATGTCCCTGAAAGGCCTCCGTGTACATAGGCAGGGCTTTCTGAATCGGGATTGGGAGGGCCCTGCTGTCGCTGACTTGTTGGAGGTGAAGCCTGTTTGGGCGAGGTAGGTCACTGACGGGGGCCTTCGCGTGGAAGACTGTGTCTCCCCGCCCAGCTCCCCGGTTCTCTCTCCACTCACTGGCCCTCTTGACATGAGCATTTTTGTTCCACCCAGGCTTTTCCACTTTGCCACTTCTGCTGTGTGAGCCTGCTGAACGCGGTCTGGACTGAAACTTCATCAAGGGGAACTAGTGCATGTACACAACACATCTTAACTCTTTCTCCTCCTTTCTCTCCCCTCCGCCCTCCATTTCTTGGTCCCCTTCCCTTTTGCAAAAGATCTGTCTCCCTGTTCTGCTGTTATCTGTCCCAGCCATATCTCATTACTCCAGCCATTCTTTAATGACTGTAAAGTATTGTTGAAGGTGTGCTGTTTGCTAGGCAGGGAATTGTTGCTGAGTATATGAAAACAACCACTGTTTCTTCCCTGAAAGAGCTGAATGGGGAGGGAAGCAAACAAAAACTAGCTTTGACAGTACAGAGTGATGGCATCATGGAGAAGCTGTGCACAGTGTAGGAAGCTATCAACTCAGTGGGGAGCTGGAGACTTACTATGCTTGGACATTAAGATCTAGGGAGTAGGCTATAACATGGGCAGGGTCTTCTGGATGGGGGAAATGGATATGAAGTTCTGGAAGTATAAAGAAACACAGTATATTTGGGATAATGCATCACAGAGGCTCAGAAATTTTAAAGTCGGGTAAGAGCTGAGCTAGTCACAGCTATGCAATTATCTAAACTCTGTAGGTGGCTGACATTTTGTTTGAGAGAATGCAGACTGGGCATGGAAAGAAGACAAAGACAGGCAAGGACAGCAGTCTGGGAGGCCACAAGGCTTTGCAAGGTGAAAGGAAGGACAGTATGATAACAAACATAAGGAGATGTCAGAGAAGGTCCAGGAGAGAGTTAGGTTTTGAAATCAAGGGAGAAAAAAGAATGTGATCAGGGCTGGGATGTAGCTCAGTGGCGCCACGCCGGCCTGGCAAGTGCAAGGTCCTGAGTTTGATACCCAGAACCACAAAAAAATAAATAAATGTGACCCAAAGTGGCAAATGCTGAAACCAATTGAAAGCAAATAAAATAATGCCTGTGAAGGGAATTCATAGGCAGTCAAGGACTTTTCTAAGTGAACTTTTGATAGAATGAAAGACATGAAAGAGAGGGCCCGAATGCTCGCTGAGGGAGCAGAGCTGGTAACTCTTCCATGAAACTGGACTGTGAGGATAAAGAGAAGAGCACGGGATCCAACGTGACTGTATTTGTTGAAGGAGAAAAGAGTACCAAAGGAAAAGGAGAGGAGCATATGATCAAAAAGAGCAAATTGGAGATGAAGCATTTACGTAAAGAAGCCAAACTGAAGAATACAGGCCCTGAAGATGACTTACCTTGCTACAGGAACATTCTTTTCACCTCAAAATTTACTAATCACTCTTAAACACAAATCTGAGTTTGTAGCTCTCCTTATGGAGGTGTAAAATTTTTCATAACTTCTAAGGCTTATGGTATAAGGGATATCCAATAAGCTGTGTTATCAGTCCTCTGAATGTTTCTTTTTGTTGATTTAACCCATCTACTGCCATGTGATTTTCAGTGTCTCCTATTGGATGAGTTTACATCCCCAGGCCATTACATTTGGCTTTGTCACGTGACTTGCATTGGCCAACAACTATGAGCAGATATTTATTCCTATACAATAGAAGCTTTAAGAACTATTACATGTAACCTCAATTTCATGATATGAGAATCTAAGTCCCAAATAGGGGTTAACCCTTCATCATATAAGAGTCATATAAGAGGAAGATGTGGAACAAAGCCATGGAAGATACCTGCAGGCATTGGTAAGTAACAGGAGGAAAATGTAATACTTGTCAGCCACCGAGACTTTTGGCTTGGTTGTTTGCCACTTGAGCAAAGAAGCTTAATATAAAATCTGGCAACTGGTTTGAAACATTGCCATTACAAAGTATCTAAATAAGGGGAGGACGAGACTCAGAATATATTTAACATTGATCACATTTGCAAATTTTTGGATATAAAATAATCATTTGCATTTTTATAGCTTTCTCTTGGCCATTTAGTTCTGTGACTACTAAGTTTGCATTATTATATTGCATAAAGAGAGAAGTTTATCCCAATTTCTTAAATAGATTTTTACTTCAGACCTTTTAAGTAGTGACATTTCAACATGACCATTGTTTAGGTTGCCATGGTATAGTTATTTTCATATCTATTTGGCAACTAAAACATTGTAAAATTTATCTTTTAAGATTACCATGGATTATATGGTTATCAGGACAAAAATTAAAGTTGCTACAGGAACATTCTTTTTCCCTCAAAATTTACTAATCACTCTTAAACACGAATCTTATTTTTGTTTGGCTTTGCTCTTTTTATGTTTACAAAGAAGGTTCTGTCTCTCACACTACATCTGAAAAGTGCTGTGCAGAATCTGGAGTCATGGACTACTTTTTAAAAATTATTGTTTAAAAAAAGTGAAAGGTAAAGATAAACTAAACCTTTCAGGGGTTTGGCAATGTCAGAGCATGTGACATATCAAGTCATGAGGAAGCTTTATTAGGAGAGATAAAAGATGTGATCAGGGAGACTGTGGAATAGACAAGTACATTTGTGAAAAGAGGCATCCAGGGTAGGAGAGCAAGAAGCATCCAAAATTTACAGTGTATTAGAGAATTAAGAACTATTACAGATCTATGTACCTTGCTTCCACTTAAGATTTGGAGAACAACATGAATAAATATCAAAATCTTTATTTTCCTGTTCTTTTTCTTATTTTTTAAGAGTAGGAAAAATTTATGGAGGGAAAGAAAGTTTCTGTCTAAGAGAGACAGAAGGGGGACCAGCAAGTGGGTTGTCTGCTCACCCCGCTTCTCCAGGATGTTTTATACAGCAAAGCCATGTGGTGAGGTGGGTACAAAGTGGGACTAAACTATAAGTCCCAATGGAAATTACAAGGTGGGCATGAGGTGGGGCAAAACCATGACCAACCATTAAGATTACAAATACAGTTGCCCAGACAATATTGATTAAATGGGGGTCATGGATATTTCCTGGAAAGGCTGGGCTAAGACCCTGCCCCCCCGGGTGATCAATATCTCTTTAGAGTATCAATCGCTGATCTTTAAACCAGGGGAAGCACAAGGGTATAGCATTTTATACCAATTCTCTCCTTTTACAATTCTGGCCACAGTGAATCTGTCTTTATTGTCATCCATGTTGGTTCCTTGCTGTGTTGACTCCTTGAGGGCTGGCTACTTGAGGGTGTCCCTGTCTAACTGCTTACAAGATATCTAATGAACTTACCTATGCACCCCTAACCACTGTGAGGGGGTAAAGGACGAAGACAGCTCTGGTTACTCCAGCTGAAGAGGTTCATAGCTGTGATCAGCAGTTCAAATTATTCTACAGAGAGTCTATCTAAAGGCCTCCGGTAGGCACCTGTCATTGTCATCTTGGTAGCTGCACAGCTTTTAAGTCTGGAGGAGACAAAATCAAAGAAAGTTAAGAATGCATGGGCCAGATTATAATACTTACATGTTCATCTTAGTATGGAATAGGCTTTCAGTCAAACACCTCCATCTGGTCACAAGACATTAAATGATATAAAGAAAACTCTTATCTGTTATCCTTTAGTAGGATGCCATCTAAAGAGAACGTACATATTGACCTATAAATGTATCTTAGGAGTTCACAATGTGCAACCTCTAATTCTAGTGTGTGATGTTGTTTTGACTGTTTGGCAACTGAGCATTCTAAGCATGGTGACACATATAACATACATCATATAAGTTTTAAAGAAAACTATTATTTGACCGGTTATCTCATGCTGGCTTGACATGTATCTCTTATCAAAAGTCGCTGGAGTGCAAGAGAAAGGCAGATACCTGAGTCAAAAAGATCATTACCATAAACAGTATCCTAGAAGACTTGTACACCCACAAGGCATGAATATATACACCATGAAATAACAATGACTATCAGTTACAGATAACCTTTTGTCCTTTAATTTTGTTTTGTACCAAGAGCATTTAAAATAAAACCTTTAGGGCTGGGCATTTGGCTTAGTGGTTCTGGCACCTGCCTTGAAAGCACAATGACCTAAATTCGATCCCCAGTACCAACAAACAAACAAACAAATAAACAAAACCTTATTGTTTTCCCATAGAAAATTTAGCCATTTGACTATGACCAATGTATACATATCACAGCAATACGTTTTTTTTCCTCTCACTGAGTTTATTGATACATTTTAGATAAACAGTACAGTTACATTCATCATTGGGATCTTGTACCTTTACATGACAGGTCTTGGTTCTCATTTTTCCCCCTTGTCCCTACCCTCCCTTTACCCCCTTCTACCCTCCCCATTTATAAACACTTTATTTCCAGTTTTTCATTATCTCATTTTTTTCTTTTCCCTCATTACCTTTACCCTACCCTTCCCACTTTCCCTACACCTTTAGCCGTTTTCTTCCTATTTCACATTGTCAATTATATCATTAGGATCTTATGTACTATTATAGTTTTTCACACCAGAGAAACTTATTCAGTACTTACACATGTGTGACTTATTTATTTCACTTAGGAGTATCACAATAATATGTTTAGCAATGTATTTTTCACAAGGCTGTGAAAATTCTTGGGGTCCCCTTTGGGAACAAAGGCTGGAATAAATTTTTTCTAGGCAGTCACTCCTTTATTTACCAAGGGAAGTCCTGTCCAGTAGTTTTTCTAAGCCCAGGGATCTATATTTAATCATCTTATCTAATTTTATATGACCTATGAGATCCAGATCATAATAATTAACACATTTGGACCAATGAAAGATTCCCAAGATATTATATATCAACAATATGTACTATATTTGCAAAACCAATTGATATTATTTGGATCATCTGGCAATCTGGGGGAAATGTGTCCTTAATATTTATCTTAAGCTAACCTGAGTTACTGGCAAACATCTTTAAAAATCTAAAATGCCAAAAGAAAAAAAAGCACAAACAGAACAGCTGTGTGTGTTGTAACAAATTGGACAGACAGACAGAAACACACACACACACACACACAACAACAACAACAACAACAACAACTTTTTATAAACCAGAGTCCACTCAGATTTATTTGGCCAAGTTGAATTATAATAACTTTTATAATTTTTAGGTTTATAATTATAAAAGACTAGTCAGAACTTTGTAGATCAATCAACAGTGATCTCTTGTAATAAAAATCAAAATGAATAAAAGTCTTCTCTATACCTGTAAAATAAAAAACAATTTTAAGATGGGCCCTAAGCTTACAGTTTATCTGATTAAAATACCAAACTACACAGGATTCAAGAGATTCAGGATTAAGCCTAGGCCAGTTTTCTATATGGCCCAGAAATAAGTGAAGGTCAGTTTTACTCTGGAAGATTTCTAAGAAAGGGAAACTCACCATTCTGCAAGTTTTGTCTTGAAATCCAGCAGCCACAGAGGAGGGAAGTGCCTTGAATTAAATACTATTGAGAACTGTGTTATTTTTCAGGGGCAGGCTGTGGAGAAGGGACAAGAAGAGTGCCTTTAAATATGGTGCAATAACTAAATCTTAAACATCAAAAGACATTTAATATCAGGAGCTTTTAATGGTGGATCTGCAATCCTTAGCAAAACACATCTCTAGAGACAAAAGCTATGATTGACTCCAATTGCATTGCAAATCATCAAATCAAATCAATAATCAAAGAACTTGAATGGCTGCTTTTTGCCTCTTGAAAAGAATTAAAGTATTCAAACTCGATTGTTTAAGGCTTTAAAAAATAAATATTTTAAATCTATAATATCTAATTTATGACTTAAATGCTCTACAGGCTGTTGAGCAGCTCTCTGATCTTGTAGAAACATTCCCAAAGCCATGTCTTGCCTTTTATTAACATACAAACTGAAATGGTGTCCTGTACGTAGGCCCTTGAAAGTGCTTATTTGAGCTTCTGGAATGCAGTCTGGAAACCAGGTTCCCAGGTTAAAATATGGCTGTCTTTTGGGTTTGTCTACAGGCTGATAGATGGGTCACACAATCTCACTATATCCTACTATCTTACAAAAGCCTGTAATTTCTAGAAATCTCCTTAGTAGTTTTAGGGTCTTGGGCTGTTGAGGGGAAAGAATTGGTTTAATTCTTAGTTTTTGGGTTCCCTTAGATATAATAAGGCCTAAGTATTTTACCTCAAGGCTGCAAAGTTGTGCCTTAGACCTAGAAACATTTTAACCTTTGTCTGTTAGAAAATTCAGCAGAACACTGTTGTCTTGGCTAGAAAGCTCTTCTGAGGGGCCTATAACACTATACCATCTACATATTGCAAGACGACTTGGGAAAAACTATAGTATTTCCTTTTATCAAATCAGGATCTAGGGATGTCCTCATCTCTTTCTGATAAATAGTTGACAATTTAAGTAACTGATGGACTCAGTTCTGTTTCTTAGGCCTTTAGGAATACACACCTGAAAGTATCTTCGATTTTAATCTTCTATCTACTGGCAGGCCAGTAGGGGTCTTGTATAGGAACTACTTATGTTCTAGTAGAAACCAGTTATTCCCATGTCTGCCTGTCTTTTGAGCTTCCAACATTCAGATAATTATTTGTTCTTAAATGTAATACTATTTGTCTCATTAAAAACCAATATTTGATTTAAGAGCAATATTACATCTTCCTAATGTACCCCATAGGTCTGAGTAAGTTCTCTGAAGACCTTAATGTACATACCAGGGTCATCCAAAAACTTCATTAGGTCTCATTTAGTCCGTCTTACATCACTGAGAAAAAGACACTTGAACACAGACAGTCCCATATTTGCCATTTACTTCCTGCAAGGGATATTGTCTGGGAGGGGCCTGAACAACTTAGCGAAGGATGGATATAGCCTCATGAAGGTTTTAATTCTGGCTGGCCTGGATACTCCATCCTGGTGGTCAAGGTTTAAAGTTGTCTTAGAAACTTTGTTCTCAGGTTCTATAGGGCAAGGAGTAGCTTCAGGCTTAGAGGTACTGAATGTTTTAAGGATAAGGTGTCTCTTATTACATTTACACTTGAACACAAGCAAGCATTACTTCTTAATATAAAGAAAATCTCAACAGAAGATGATTTTTGACAATTTTATCTTTTTTATAGTATAATTCTGATATTGAGTTAGCATCATAGTATTTTCCTCTCTGTACTTGGTTTTCACCCGCGCGAGGGTATAGAGAAATACTAAATTGCTCCTTAATACATTTAAAAATAGTACTTTTCAAGAGTAAAATTTGGTGACATTTAGTTCATCCACAATATTGTATAACCAGTGCTTCCATCTACTTTCAAGAAATGTTCATTACCCTAAGAGAAATCCATTAAACAGTTACTCCCTGTCCACTCTTCCTTTGACTCCAGGCCACCCACTAGTTAGCCCTGTGTCCTTAATTTTCCCAGTTCTGAATGTTTTTAAAATATAATCATATGATATATGACTTTTTATGTGTTTTAAGGTTCATTCTCAATATATTGTGCATCAGTGTTTCATTCCTATTTATGACTGATTAATATTCTACTGTATAGGTGTAATACCTTCTGTTCATTCATTTAACAGTAGGTAGATATTTGGGATGTTTCTATCTTTGGGCATTGTAAATAGTACTACTACAGACTTTTGTGTACAATTATTTCTTTGAGGAACTGTTTTCTTCTGGGATATACCTATCAGTAGAATTACTGTGTCATTAGTATATATTTGACGTATTTTAGGCCAACCCAGTCAGTTTAGCAGTTTAGCAAGAAACTGTCTTTAAAGTAGGAAATAAAAGAAAGTACTTAGATATGTTGTTCAGTGCAAAGGCCCTGGGTTCAGTCCCCAGTACCATAAAAAGTTTGAAAATTAGATATAATGTTCATAAAGGTAAAATTTTGAAAAAAACCACCTTGAATGTGTTAACATATTTTCTTATACTGGTTGGGACCAATAAAATTCTACATGGGAAATTAAAAAAGAAAAAGGAGTGCTAGGTTCAGATATGGAGTTCCTGATCTGAAACAAGGGAAACAATTATGGTGCTCCATGAGTCTCTGCTTGATTCTTGTGCCCCCTAGATCATCCTTCAAGGTTTATTTCACTCCAGAGTAGGTAGCTACCATCTGGAGAGAGGCCCAGAAAATAAAACCAGACTGGACTATCTACCCTTTACTAGCATGTGATCTTATTTTCCTCAGGAAACTCATATCCTTACTCCAGTAGGTACTCTCAAAGCAGAAGCTACAATTGACTTCAGTTATGTTTAGAGAAGTATTGCTAGCAAACCAATAAATTCAAACCACTGCTTGAAAGAGAGAGAGAGAGAGAGAGACAGAGAGAGGGAGAGAGAGGAAAATAGGGCACTTTTCCTGCAAAAGAGATCATCTCCAGAGATGCTAAGCTAGAGATTCTTCCCTGGGCCCTAGGGTAGAGAAAGCTCTAAGAAATTTCTGTTGTCTATCCAGTCTCTTAGGCAACTTTTATTAGCAGCAAGACAAGGCTACTCCTTTAGGTCCATTTTAAATTCACTAAGTATTTGAAACTCATAGGTCTTCCTAGCAGCCACAATCTACACAGTAATGGTACCTTTATCAACTTCTTACACACACACACACACACACACATGAAGGAAGGGAAAGGTGGACCAAGATTGTCCCATATTTTAGTTAGCATCCAAGTTACTGATTGTTATTTTTCCTAGTGTAAGACAAAATTGCTGCTGCAAGTTGTCTTAGTCTGACATTGTGGAAGTCAGAGGAGCAGTCTATGAAGGATTCTCAAATTAACTCCCAACAAGTTGCAGAAAAAAAATTAAGGGGAGTTTTTAACTCACAAGCAGAGAGAAAAAGTTCAAATAAAGCTCAAGCTGGTTAAACAGTCAAAAATCACCATATAGCATTTCATAAGTCCACAGTTAATGTTCCAAAGTCCACAACCTATCAGAAAAGGCATTTTTCTCTCCAACACACAAAAATGATGAAGACCATGCCTAGGAGTAGGTAGAAGGTTTGGTAGCTTTTAATCTATGAAAGAATGGTTTTTTAATATTTGTCTTGAGGTCTGTCTTACTAGCAGTAGAGAAAGCAGTCCAAACCTGTAGCTCAGCTCTTAATGGAGGCTTAACAAAGGGCGCTGATGGCATTGTTTCAGATCACTCCGAGACAGAGGATATCTGATGATCACTGACCGAGTTCCTGGTTTACCTCCCAGAGGAGTCCAGATAGGACAAGATGTGGAGATTTTCTGCTGATTACCCAGATGGGCTGTTGGGAGCTAGTTTCTTCTGAGGGACCTTTGGGTACCTGGCCATGACTCCTCAGGTGTCACCTCAGTTTCCAATAGTTCCACACAATCAAAGTTCTAACTCCGAAAGGAACCCAATTGTCTCATCTGGTCAACCTTCCGCCCACCAATGGCATCAGTGGGATGTGGGGATTCACCAGAGGGCAACTGGAGAAACCTGTCCTCTGCTATGAGTGGCAGCTGCCCTAAAGGCAATTGCTGGCTGGCAGAGTTACCACTGTTTGGCATTCTATAAGGGACAGATAAAAGCCTGAACTGTCTTCATCTGAGATGATTTCATAAGACACCCATTTTACAGCATTTTGAAGCAACTAAGTACAAACGCATCACATACAAAACAAGATTAAAATGTAATTTTAACAAAACACAATGCATAAGAAAAACAAGAAATTTGCAAACATTTAAAACACACAACTTCAAATTAAGACACTTTTGAGACAAAAGCTGAAACAAAGACCAGAATTTATGAAACAAAACAACAAACAGAATCTATGAAACAAGAGAGCCTATGAAACAAGTTACAATCTATGAATCAGAAAGGCCAAAGTTAGAACCTATGAAAGAAAACTCTTACCTCAGACCAGTAGTCTCAGTGGAAGACCTCCAAAATGATACAGCAGGAAGAGATGTAACTCCCAAACCTGCTAGATATTCAAAATACGAGTTCATGTTCTCTAAAATCAAAGAATGAATTCTAGGAACAACAGAGGTTAAGAGTAGGGAAAATTTATTAAAGGAATAAAGCTTCTATCTAAGAGAGACAGGAGGGGGACCAGAAGTGAGTTCTTCTTAATACAACACTGCTCTGGATTGAACCCTGTGGGTTCAATGTAGATTCACAGATACATTAGCTTACTCTCTGCCCATCCCTGACCCTCATCATTCCTAACCTCAATGGATCCCTAAGCCACACATATCACTCCCCCAACCCTAAATATAGCTTCATCTGACCCTCACCCTAATCATGACCTGCCTGTGCCCAAGCTTCACTTCATTTGATAAAATTAACCTATGCCTTAAAGGTGAAATCCAAGAATGGGGTGTAGATATGCATAGGGATGAAGTTATTTGTAACATGTTATTAAAAAGTTTTTAAAAGTAATTTTTTTCTTTTATCTTTTTAGGTTTTATCAAAATACAACCTAAAAGT